CACCCCCTGTCTGTGTCACTGTGTCACCCTGCAGGGGGAGGGACAGACTCATAGCGCCCCTTGTCTGTGTCACTGTGTCACCCTGTATGGGGAGGGACAGACTCATAGCGCCCCCTGTCTGTCACTGTGCCACCCTGCAGGAGGAGGGACAGACTCATAGCGCCCCCTGTCTGTGTCACTGTGTCACCCTGTATGGGGAGGGACAGACTCATAGCGCCCCCTGTCTGTGTCACTGTGTCACCCTGTATGGGGAGGGACAGACTCATAGCGCCCCCTGTCTGTGTCACTGTGTCACCCTGATGGGAGGGACAGACTCATAGCCCCCCTGTCTGTCACTGTGTCACCCTGACAGACTCATAGCGCCCCCTGTCTGTGTGTCACCCTGTATGGGGAGGGACAGACTCATAGCGCCCCCTGTCTGTGTCACTGTGTCACCCTGCAGGAGGAGGGACAGACTCATAGCGCCCCTTGTCTGTGTCACTGTGTCACCCTGTATGGGGAGGGACAGACACATAGCGCCCCCTGTCTGTGTCACTGTGTCACCCTGTATGGGGAGGGACAGACTCATAGCGCCCCCTGTCTGTGTCACTGTGTCACCCTGTATGGGGAGGGACAGACTCATAGCGCCCCCTGTCTGTGTCACTGTGTCACCCTGTATGGGGAGGGACAGACTCATAGCGCCCCCTGTCTGTGTCACTGTGTCACCCTGTATGGGGAGGGACAGACTCATAGCGCCCCCTGTCTGTCACTGTGTCTCCCTGCATGAGGAGGGACAGACTCATAGCACCCCTGTCTGTCACCCTGCAGGGGGAGGATAGACTGATAGCGCCCCCTGTCTGTGTCACTGTGTCACCCTGTATGGGGAGGGACAGACTGATAGCGCCCCCTGTCTGTCACTGTGTCACCCTGCAGGAGGAGGGACAGACTCATAGCACCCCTGTCTGTCACCCTGCAGGGGGAGGGACAGACTGATAGCGCCCCTTGTCTGTGTCACTGTGTCACCCTGTATGGGGAGGGACAGACTGATAGCGCCCCCTGTCTGTGTCATGTAATATAGAGTAACAACATGCTATGGCTGTAAATAGACTGTGCAGATTGTAGCCCCATGTAGCCAAAGCACAGCTAAGCGAAAAAAGGCCTTGACAGGGGTTAGGAGGCGGGCATAGGAGGAGGGAAGGAAGTATGGAGTTATGGGTAAGTAGGCTTGGCTATTTAAATAGGCAGCCATTTTAAATCCTTCACTTTTAATTACTACCTTGCCGAGTTTGTGTGCACTCCTGTGTCCACGGATTTGGCTTGGTGGGTCTTTGTTTTTTCTCTCCTTCTGCAGGGTCGATGGATGACATGGAGGAGCTGTTGGAGCGGATCCGGTCGGCAGCTCGAGGACGTGGCGTGGACTGGCTGCGGGCGCAACTTGGACCGGCCCTGGCGGGTGCTGCGGATCCTGAGGGCAGCGGAGGTCGGCCTGTGCGGGCCCGGAGGCCGCCGAGACGGCTGAGCCCAGGCACGGAGTCCGGTGGGGACGGCTCCAGTGGCCGGGCGGCGGCGGGACCAGGCCGCAAAGGACCCGGTAGCCGCATGGTTGAGGCTCCGCCTCCCGGCGCGTTACCGGGACGTCGGAGAAGCAGTAGCCGGCGGGCGGCTACCCGGGAGACGGACGGAACGGCTCCCAGTTCGGGGAGGGCTGCGCCTGGAGCGGGGGCCGCGGAAGACATCGGGCGGCCCCATGGAACCGGAGGTGACGCAGGATTGCGGCCCGGGATGGCGTCCCCTACACCCATGACGGGGACTGGCGGGGCCGGTGCGGGAGGAGCTCGTGGACCGCCCCTGGAGCAGGCAAGTGCAGGGGGTTCCGGCCGGGGCCCCCTTGGCGCGGATCAGCGCAGGAGGACTGGGCACGGAGTTCAGAGACCTGGGGGGGGGATGGAGAGGGGTCAGGTTCCTCCTGGATCGGAGGCAGAGAGGCCTAGAGGGGAGGGTGCGCTGGGTAGTTCCAGGATAGTGAGCGTGGAGCAAGGGCCTGTAGCCGGGAGGGTGGATGGGCCAGGGGGTACGGCGGGGGGAGGTTTGCCATCGGGTGGGGGCAGGAGGTCTAGGTGCGCAGGGCGTTCAGGGCAGGTTAGGGGTGCGGGGTCTGGGGACGGTCTAGAGGTACCGAGGGGAGGGGGTTCTTCTAGCCGGGGGGCCCGCCGGGGTGGGGGGTGGGGATTCCCCCGCGCTGGTGAGCAGCTAGGTGGGCGTAGTACTGGGGGGGCACAGGGTCGGGGTCTGGTGATAGCAGCCCGTCACCGGTTAGGGCCCGGGGGTTCGGGGGGGTTAAGGGAAGGGCTCGGCGCGCTAGGTCCTCATCTAGTAGTTCAGGGGGGGAGAGTGTCATGGCCCCCAGGCTGGTTACACGGGGGCGGGCCTCTGGTAGGAACGGGAGGAGTCGTAGTCCCAGAGGCAGGGCCGATCGGGCCTTGGGTGGGCGAAAAGGAGTGGTCGAGCGACGGGAGGCTCTGGTGTCCAACGGGCGCTCTCAAGGTCGGGACGGGGGGGCTGCTCATGACCAGTATGCTCTGCCCAGGACTTCTTCTCCTCGTTACAGATCTCGGAGCCGCTCCGCCTCTGATGTGTCCGGGCACCGGGTTGGCTCCCCGGTTGGAGGGTCGTTGACGGATGTTGCTCATCCTGGTCGGGGGACAGTACAAAACGCAGCCCCAGGAGCTTCGGGAACGAGGGGCTTGGCCGGTGAGTCCTGTGCTTCTCTGCACTCCAGTGCACTGGTTCATACACTTCAAGCGCTTCTCCACTCACTGGGAGCGGGGGGTGCCACGAGGGGCGGTGTGGGTCAGGTCTGGGCTCAGGGGGCCGGGGTGGCGGGCCCGAGTGAGATTCCCTCCGCGGAGCAGAGTTCGGGTGGGGACACTGCGATGACGGTTACTGGGGCGGATGCGACGAGCGAGCGGGCTGAGTTGACTGGGGGGGGTGGTTCCTGATGCGGCCAGGCAACACGCATATGTGTCGTTTGCGGGTCCACTGGGGGTCCACCTCAAACAGGAGGTGAAGGAAAAAATCTGGAAGGGTGACTTCTGCGAGATCTTTTCTCTTCTCCCTTTGGAGGATTTTATCGATCTCAAGGAGGACGATAAAAAAGACGAGAAGAAGGAGGAGGAAGAGAAAAAGAAGCGGTATCGTAAGATTCCTAAGTCTTTCGGTAACTGGCTGAGGGCGTTCTGCGTGTTGGCCAGTGTTCTGGGCGAAAAATCGCCGGGCCTGTGCTCCTCCCTGTTTTGTTGTTTGGATGGCATTTGGGAGGCGTACCGCACCTATGGCGGACTGGCATGGTGGCGGTACGACGAGCAATTCCGGCAGTGTTTGGCGGCTAATCCGGGTATGCGGTGGGATCAAATGGACCTGCCTCTCTGGATGAAGCTGATGATGGCGCAGAAAGCGCAGCCCTTTCAGCCCATGGCCGGCGCAAAGGGGCAGTCCGCCTCGTCGGCCGCCATGCAAAAGGGCTTCTGCTGGCTCTTTAACGAGGGCCAGTGCAAATGGGGAAACGCCTGTCGCTTTAAGCACGAGTGTTCGGGCTGCGGAGGCGCTCATGGGCTCAACCGGTGCTTCACAGGGCGCCGGAGTCCCTACCGCGGCTGGGGAGGGGGAGTTTCGCTTGCCCCGGGGCCTAACCCCGGTGAGGCTAGACGCGATGGAGCCGTGGCTAAGCCGCTACGGTAATAGGGCAGATGCCCTGGCGCTCCGGGCGGGGTTTGGACAGGGGTTCTTTATCCCTTTCCGGAACCGGGGGGGGACAGGGGTTCGGCGCAACCTTAAATCGGTGGCTGAGTTCCCGGGTGTGGTGCGGGAAAAACTGGGCAAGGAGGTCAAATTGGGGAGGATGGCAGGACCGTTCCCGGCTCCTCCAATGGAGGGTCTGAGGGTTTCCCCTCGGGGTGGTTCCCAAGAAGGAACCGGGGAAGTTCAGGCTCATTCACCACCTCTCCTACCCGGAAGGAGAGTCGGTGAATGATGATATTGACAAGGACTTGTGCTCGGTCTCCTATGCATCATTCGACAGGGCGGTCGAGCTGGTAAGGAGGGCCGGGCACGGGGCACTGTTGGCTAAGGTGGATATTGAAGCGGCTGCTTCTGGTCCACCCAGCGTGTCATCACTTGCTGGGGTGTTTCTTCGACGGGGAGTACTTTGTGGATTTGTGCCTTCCAATGGGTTGTGCTATCTCATGCTCCTACTTTGAGAAGTTTAGTACCTTTCTTGAATGGGTGGTCAGGGTCGAGGCGGGGAGTGGAGCTGTGGTACACTACCTGGACGATTTTCTCTGCGTGGGACCGGCGGGCTCCCCCGCCTGCCTACACTTGCTGAGAACGGTCGAGTGGGTGGCTGGCCATTTCGGGGTCCCTCTGGCGGCGGACAAAACAGAAGGGCCGGCTCCGTGCCTTAGTTTTCTGGGGCTGGAGATAGATACGTTGCAAGGGGAGTGTCGGCTGCTGTTGGAAAAGTTACGGCGGCTGAGGGGGGAGGTGGCGGCGGCGGCTCAAGCCCATAAGGCTACACTGCGGCAGCTGCAGTCGTTGATCGGGATGCTGAATTTTGCGTGCAGGGTGATCCCAATGGTTAGGGTGTTCAGCCGGAGTCTGTCGGCAGCGACGGCGGGGGTGCGATCCCCGCGTCACTTCATTCGGGTGTCGTCGGCCATGAGGGCCGACTTGGCCGTATGGGAGACCTTTCTGCGGGAGTTCAATGGGACAGTGATTTTTAGACAAGAGGGCGTGTCGGCTGCGGAGCTGGAGCTGTTCACTGACGCGTCTGGTAGCGTGGGCTTTGGGGCCTACTTTGGGGGAAGTTGGTGTGCGGAGCGATGGCCGGGGGAGTGGCGAACGAGCCCCCTCATGCGGAACTTGGCTTTCTTGGAGCTGTTCCCGCTGGTCGTCGCGTTGGCCCTGTGGGGGGATAGGCTGCGGGACCGGAAGGTGGCCTTTTTCCCGGACAATATGGCCGTGGTGCACGCTGTGAATAACCAATCGGCAGCATCGAAACCCGTGGTCAGGTTGCTACGTCATTTCGTTCTGTTGTGCATGTCGCTAAATGTTGTTTTTCGTGCACGCCATGTGCCTGGGTTCATGAATGATGCGGCTTACGCTCTGTCTCGTTTTCAGTGGTCACGATTCTGGACGGTGGCGCCGGAAGCGCAAGAAGTGGGGCAGGCTTGCCCAGACGAGATTTGGCGGCTCGGGGCGACCTGCTTGGGGGACTGGTGAAGGCTTCGCTGGCGCCGGCCACATGGGCCGCTTACAGTAAGGTCTGGGACTCCTGGGAAAGGTCATGGGAGGGGTTGGACCGCCTGCCGGCGGGGGAATCGCTCAAGGATGCGTTCCTCTGGTACACCTGTCAATTTCTGGCGAAGGGGGCGTCCCCGGCGGTGGTTGACAGGTCCATGGCGGCGATGGCTTTCTGGTCAGGCACTGAAGGGGTACCGACGGGGCCGCAGGCGGCCTGACACTCGGCGCCCTGTATCGGTGCGAGTGTTGAGTGACCTGGTCGGTTTATTGCCTACTATATGTTTCGACAGGTTCGAAACATCTTTGTTCCAGGCGGCGTTTCTGTTGGCCTTCTTTGGAGCCTTTCGGGTAGGGGAGTTGGTCAGTGCCACGAGGACTGCGGCAGGGGGGGTGCAGGTGTCGGGGGTCCGAGTGCTGGAAGGGAAGGTGGTTGTACACCTGGCAAAATCCAAGACGGACATGTTAGGCAAGGGCCGGCTCCGCTTTGTGCCCAGTGGCCGCAGTGGCGGGGAACATGGCACGAAGGCCGGGGGTTGAGGGATCGCTGCTGGTACACGCGGACGGGTCTTCCCTCTCCCGGTTCCAGTTCACCAAGGTTTTTCGGTCTGGCCTGGGAAAGCTGGGATTGAGGGCGGATACTTTTGGTATACACTCCTTTCGCATTGGGGCGGCTACGGAGGCAGCTCGGTTGGGTCTGGGGGATGACATAGTGAAACGGATTGGGAGATGGGAGTCGGTACGTGTAGCGGAACGCCAATAATAAATCCACGAATTCCGCTGGTCCAGAAACGAATCCACAGTCAAGCGCTGAAACAACAAGGCAATATCCCCAACCTCCCAATAACCGGACGAGACACAGTTTTGGGAGTCAACTGAAATCCTTTTAATCAGCAGGACAATTTATACAAGTCCCCATGCAAGGGGTTTCCTGAGTCCCTCCCCAGGGGCACTCCCAGAGGGGACTACATGGGGGACTTACAGACAACATATTTCTCCCATCAGGCACCGCTGCACGAGAGGGATCATCCTCCCAGAATGCACCGTTAAGGGGATTATCCCCTCGTGCAGCAGAACCGGCAATTCACACAAAAATCTCTAACTTATTAAATACACGGTGGATTTACACGAATGGACGTTCGGTAGATAGCTGGGGTCTGAGCGCATCATTCGTGAGATTGCCGCTCAGATCCCAGCTAAAATAACCGAACGCCGCACAGAAAACACATTTCTTTTATAACAAACGAAAAGGACCGATTACTTCTAGTGAACACGATCCTGAAACTCCCGAACGTCCTGGAGGCTCAGCGGTGTTCGTGCCGTCGAATAGCTATTGGTAATACTATGCGTTCGACAACTCGGTCCCGCTGAGGAACAAAGGATCCAAGATGGCCGACCGCCGCATGGTCGGTAGTCGAACGACGGCCACCCAGGAGAGCCTCTAATAACCGATTGCAACAATGTTGCAATCGGTTAACTAGCGCCACACGCCTCTAAGTGTGTGGGCTATTAGGGGGTATCGCGTTCGGTTCACGAACGGCTTTCTAAAGTGCCGTTCGTGAAACAAAAGAAAATCCCCATACAAAACCGCCATTTGCATTCGGCGGAAACAGCAGTACAGGCAATACAGAAAATACATTAACATCTACATAAGTGTAAAGCGCATATCTCGCCCGACCTAGTGGCAACCCTTAAAGGCACAGTCTCTAGTTATTGTCCAAGTGGCTAGGTTTGCCACAGTACGGTTCCGTTCATATGTGCTCTTGGGTTTATTGGAGTAGTATGGTGGAGGGCCTTTGAGGATCCCGGGGGACTGGGTACGAAAGGGGCTGTTACGATCTGTTTTCTTCTCTCCCCCAGGCTGTGTCGCATGGATCGTGGGCCATTCATTTGTCTTCTGGGCCGAAAGGAGGGCTGCAGCTCGAGCTCAGGGCCACCAGCTGGGCTTTCATCGGGACCAGTTGGCGGTGCAATGGTTTGGGTACAGGGGTTTTTGTTGGGGGGAGGTCTGCGGAAGGGTGTTCCGGATGGTAGCAGGCGGGCAACGGCCGGACCTGCTGGTTCTCCATGCGGGGGGCAACGACTTAGGCCTCACTCCGCAGCGGCGGCTGGTAAAGTGGATGAAGCAGGACCTTAACAGTTTAAGGGACCTACTTCCGGGGGTGATGTTGGTCTGGTCGGAGATTATCCCTAGGAAGCGGTGGCGGCATGCTAGGGACCCGGAGGCTATTGACAGGTGTAGGAAGAAAGTGAACAGCTTGATGGCAAGCTTCGTGCGGACGCTAGGGGGTGTGGTAGTACGACACAGCGAGTTGGAAGGTGGTTTGCTGGGGTACTACCGCTCGGATGGAGGCCATCTCTCGGCAGTTGGTTGGGATCTGTTGACCCTGGGCTGGCAGGATGGCATAACCAAGGCTCTTTTTCTTCGGGGTGGCGGAGCTCAGACAGCTTAAGGAGTCAAGGTCTGAGCTTGTGGCGGGATAGGGAGCTGAAGGAGAAGAAATAGGCTCCCTAGGATGAACGTCATGGAGACGTAAAACTGTGGTCATTGGTGGTTGGTAGGTTCCGAGTCCTGTCGGTGGCTCAGAATCTGGTGGGGCAGGGGTATCCGGGTATACCCCTGCCATGGTTAATTTATGTTTGGCACTTTAAGTTGGTATGTTGGAATATGTTGATATGTATGTTATATATATATGTATATGTGTTATTTATATGGGGGTCATTGCCTGTTATATTAACAGAAGGATTCGGATGTGAGGGCGGAGTATGGGGGCAATGACCCATGTTTATTGTTAAATTATTATTGCTATGGTTATTAATATGGAAATTAATAAATTGTTATTATTCAAGATTGTTTAAATAAAGCTGTGGACAAATTTTCCCATATACCTTTGTGTCAGTGAGTTATTGGGTTAGGTATGTGGGAGGGTTGTCCTGGAGTCCGACTGCCCATATGGCGACTATACACCGGTCATGAATGTATCCATATATAAAGCAGGTGTTGTTCTAGTTCTTATAAATACATAACAGAACTGGATACAGGTAAAGAGGCAGGTTTTACATTTAATAAGAGGAATTGATGTGAAGAAAGGACACAAAAGTTGAAATGGTTCATACTACATCAATAGACATCTAAATGGGGATAAAATAACATTGTGTGTAATATTATATATATGACAAACTCCCCTTCCTACGTGAGTTTGCTACAAGCTCCTGGAGGAGCTTGCTTGCCAGCCTCTTGCTCACAGACTATGGGCCCTGCAGGGAAACCTGTAAAAGACTACCGTTTTGCAATGTAACGGAACCGCTGGCACCCCGACCGGGTACCTTCCCCCGACGGATGCTCCTAGTGCTTTCCGAGGACTGCCTGACACCATAACCACTGCAGACCCCACGAACCACCGCAGCTTGGTTGGGGTCTCGCCATCTCCACCCACTCTGGACCCAGGACCAGGGTCCAGCTTCCAGCAGGTCGACCCCTCTCCGAATTCCAGAGAGCAGGAACAGGAACAAGCTCTTAGCAGAGCTTAGTGATTATACCCTGGGGAGTATAGGGATTATAGCAATCCCCAGAGTGTAGTTTCTCCAATCCCCCAAACATGAGCCAAAACTTCATGAAGGTACAAGATGATCTGTTTATTGGCACACAAAGAACCTTCTTTTATGTAGGTTCCCATGCAAGGGGACATCCCACAGGGTGGGACACAGTACAACCAATCACACAATGGTTACATCCCACACATCTCCTCCCCTTAGCCTGAGAGGTAACCCAATTATCCGTACATTTTAAAACACACTTTTTACCCAACTTTCATAACTCTAAAACTATACATCACATTCACATAAAAATACATACTGTTACATTTATCACATAGAACCTACACATTTCCAGTTTACCGAACACATAATAGCATATATAATATTGCAGACCGCCTGAATGCAATCTGCTACACAGTCTTAAAGGGACATTGTTCCTAAAAGTCATAATATGTCCAGGGATGGTTTTTAAAGGGCCAGCAGCAGCACCATACAAATCCAATATGCCCAAATATTGTACTTGAAGGGCCAAATAACCCAGGGCCATAGTCATGAGGCAAGAGGCTGGCAATCAGGCTCCTCCAACAGCCAGGGGAAAATCCGGTGACAAAAGGCGTTTCGTCACATGTAATATTGAAGGTTTTCTGTGCCTGGAGATAATCGAGTTAGTTCAGTTTCTGACTTAATTATCTCTCAGGCACAGGGGAGGCGTTTGTAACTTGTAACGAGTCCCCTCTCAGGTCCAGGAGAAGGCTTATCCTGTTTGTGTGGGAGTGTCAGGGTCGTGCCTGTGTCTGAAATGGTATAAAAGCAGGCCATCTGGCCAGATTAAAGCATTCCAGCTTGTACTCCCAGAACTATGTGTTGTCTGGTTACTGGGAGGGGAAAGAGCTAATCACCTATCACTGTTCCAGTGTGGAAGATTCAACAGGGAAAGTCCTTCTAAGGATTAGAGGTCCCAGGACTGAGTGTCATCCAGAGCGAGTTCCCCATTCGGCTCCAGGAGGGAGCAGTTCCAGGACCCCAGTCAAGCAAAAGTGCTGCGGTTTGTCCCCTGTTCCAGCTAGGAAGCGGTCCTTGGCAGAGGTTCCCAGCCAGGGGTACGGGGAGCTCCATTACATTGGTGGCAGCCGCGGGATGGCTTTCTAGCCGTGGGAAAACTAGCACTTCTTCCAGAGATGGGAGGCAAGTACCGTCGGGCAGGATCCTGCATCGACACCCAGCTTCAGCAGCAGTTACAGGAGGTTTTGCACAGTTCAGATTACCCTATCTGAGCAGAAAGGGAACTCTGGATGTGGTCCCTCTGAGAAATTTTCCCAAATCCCAACCAACGCTGATGGGACCATTTCGACCTGCGAATGCCGTTTCTGGGAGAGAAGCCCCTAGAGAAGTGGGTAAGAGAACTAGTGCGGTTGGTCGAAATCAAGATATGGTTGGACGAATCCTACCGGGCCTTGCGGTGGCATGCAGCCCACCTCTACCAGCTCCCGAGGGAAAGGACTATGTTGGGCAATGGTTGTTGTGGGGGGCTACTG